TTCCTTATCTGCATCCGAGATCTAAGGATGGGGCTGTTGCATGTTGTACACAACATGTCATTAAACTTAACAACAGAATAGGCTGTTTGCCAATTATTCCCAAAATGACATGCGTATATGACTTGACACATTTAGTATGTGCAATAGCTAATACCTTTACTAAAAGAAAATAGTGGCTGCTAGTCTCATGTTAACAGTGGCATCATTGGTTCCACTCCAACTTCTTGTCCCAGGTTGCATTTAGTATGTCTATCAGTAATGTCTATTAGTAATGCTTCAATACCATGAACAGACACTCTGTAGTTTATTCTGACAGTCCCACACACACCGTCCTGCTGCCAGAAATACTCACTAGAGCACCAAAACACATGTTCATGCGCACCAATGAAGGACTCATCCAGTGGTTTAAAAAACAACTAACAACTAATGCACAATTCCACAACGTTGACAAGCTGTTCAGGAAATTACTGCGCCTTTTTTATTGAAAGTATACATTCATTACGTGTTTTTAAAGATTTAAAGTCTTTGGCAGGAAGCAGTGAGCTTTGAGCTAAGAGTGTGGGTAGGGAAGTTATAAAGTACAGAGAGACAGACTAACACATTGTTGGTTTGTGTCTTGACAGTTGTTGACGATACAAAGGAAAACCATCTATCCTTCAGTTGTCAGTGCATGCTTCTTTTCTCAGGACCTTCCATAAGTTACTAAAGAGGAATACAAATAAATAATTTTGCCCAAGTTATACTGTATCCTTGTATAACTGTTCCATTCTGTGAGCTTGTTGCATAGAGAGAAATAATACGAGAGAGAGGAAGAAATAGAGAGTGAGGGGCTCGATGCCAATATGTAGATCTTCACTTCCAACATACTAGCTTCTTAGAGGTTACTGTTCAACAGCTGTATGCTACTTAATCGCTATAGCCCCCAGCAGGAATAATCTACTGTAATTCTTTATCACCCAATACAGTTAAGATTAGGTTAAACAGAGAGCAGCGCAGCTTCACAGCCAAGCCTGCCGTGTTTCCAAACACTCCCAAAAGATTTGCCCTGTTAAAAAAATCCATCTCTGTTCTGACAAATGGTGGGCTGAGTGGTGAGAGAGGGGAATAAAAACACATGATTTATTTTCAAAGCTTTTATGATGCTTTCCATTGTTCCCTTCATGCGTTAGTCTCGATGCACACTACGTTTGCCAATGGGGACGTAACTGTTGCAGAGACACAAAGGAGCTGCTCAAATTACACCTGCGACAATTACTACAGCAAGGCGCTGTCTGCGGGACAAAAGAGTGTTATCTAAAACTACTCACAGAGAATGTACAGAAAAAATCAATTACTGCTAAGGCTTTGTTGCAGGTTTTAGGCTGTCTGGTATGTCACACTTAAAATTGTATTGACAACAGCAGATTAGTACAACTGCACTGAGATATTGTTTGTCTTTAAAATGACAGAATTACATGTACTGGCATAAATACAAATGACCTCTGAGCTATACATTACTCACTTTTCTATCTGCAAAATGTATTTATTGTATTAATTATCATAGTGTAATAATGTTAGACAACTCGCTCCTCAGGCCATGGTGAATTGCAGTAACTATGCATAGGCAGTCTAAATCTTAAACTTCTTGTAATAATATTTAAACCTGGAAAACATCCACTGAGATGTGGCTGCTGCTGAGAGCCAGGCCTATCACAAAAGTAGATGATGATTTTATTTGCTGCCTCAAAAAACTCCAGAACCTTACTAACCTTGCTGCTACATTTATATAATATAATATTAAACAAAGTAACCTGATTTAGTTGGTCATTAGGAGATTAGACATGTCTGCAAAAGCTAAACAGTTCAAGGAATAGTAGCAGAAAAGGAGAGCGCTGGCGCTACAACTCATTTAAAATGGCACCTATTGAAAACATGCCTTACCAAACCACATTGAGTGAAGCAAAAGTTAAGGGAATTTGGCAAGTGTTGAATTGTAGTGAAGTAACACTGCACCTTAAGTGAAAACAGTATACCGGTAATTGGTTTCCTGCATTGGGCACTATGTAGAAAAATAAGGCTTGAGCCACTGTACTTATATGTCTATGAAGATTCTTGTACTTATATGTTGTCTATGAACTAATGTGCAGGGATTTGACTTTTCTTAAAACACATACTTTTCAACCAGACGTCCTATGCTGAAAATTCATAATGAACGAGTGTACAGCTCCTGGTAGTATCACACCGTCACACGATCTTAAAAAGATTCATATTGAAATATATTTTCATTATAAAAAGTCTAATGTCTAAATTCCTAAAACAGCTGGTTATTGCGGTTTTTAGCAAATGTTACTTAAACAGGAGGAAATAGTGCATTAGTTAGGGACTATTTTCAACGGTGGATTAATCTACATTTGGTGCTCTAATGTATTTCCGGTAGAAAGACAGTGTATTTGGGAGTAGAAGCCCTCACTGTCCATTAACAATAGAGCTGTCACTGGTCTAAGAAACCAGAAACCAACACAGACAACAATTAATATTAATTATTAGCTCAAAACTACTCAGTTAAAACCCAACATGTAAACCTTAACTGCTTTTTATGAAGGTTTATTTGTAGGAAAGATTGTTTTCACGCCATCAGAAAGCTACACCAAGGATTTTGAACAAAGCAGGATAAAAATTCCCGGCTTGCAGTGAAAACCATCAATGCTCAACAATTTTGGAGCTCAGCTGCCAGTGTAGCCCTCCGCCATAGATGGCAACAAGCTCTTTATTTAATGGGTTCAAGAACAGCTTGCTCTCTTACTGTGGAACATAATAACCACATTTGTAAGCGTAAAGCAGGGTTTTGAATGTAATCATTCATCTTGAGTTACCATGTTGTCGTTCGGACATCAAGGCTCTCCAAGGCTTGCACTCTCCGCAGCAATCCACCTAGAGCTCTGGGTCCTAATAATGGGACCACAAAGGGCCAACTTAAAAAAATTGCAGTAGATAATAATGCGCGAGTCACAGCCGTTTTCTCCAGTTTGCTTTGACTGTGTTAACTAACTATTACTATTTAACTATTTATGTGTGCCACAGTCATAGCAAACAAGAAGTCATTATGAACACGCTGGCATCTCAGCGGGTCCTGTAACAAAAGTAACCATTTCCTCCCTTGAAATAACTTGAAATTTCACCCCCTCATTCTGATCGGCCGGCGGGAGCAGTTTAGGGTCTGATTTGATTTCCTCTGACACATTTATTTCTAACCAAACATTAAGTGTGTTCTAAGGACAACTCTAATTTCCGGTGTCGAAATACGTCGGGGTCACATTACAGCACAGCACATTGTGCAGCATTTTAAAGAATGTCACTGAAGCTTGTTGTGGTTAAAGCATGACTGTAATAGTGCAGATAATGCTGGTGATTTTCCACTGGCCTGTGGTGATTTGACCATTGCAGAGCTGTGTGTGTATGTGGGGGACACTCGCCTCCAAAGTTGCATGCTTCCAGTATAAATACACATGAAGGAATATATGAATGTATATTACATTATGGATGTTTTTTTAATGGAGGCAGTGCAGATATTCTACAATAATATTAAATAATGCTTGGAAGTTCAGCCTCCAGCAGGAGAAACACGAAGGCTGTTTGGGTAGAGAAGAAATTGTAGAAAATAAATTCTGGTTTGTTACTAGTCATCATGTTTAACATGAGCAAATTGTGAACAGTAATGTAGTTTCAGAACGTACAGTTTACTTTGCTGGTTATAATGCAATTGGTGGAAGAAATATCAACTGCAATAGAAAATAATGAATATACAGTGAGGGTGATATGTCTTGATCTTAAAAACCATTTCATATTCCAAACTTTCATTTATTTGAAACTTCTAAACAGTTGTTTTGATTTTACAATCTACACCTGTGAAAAAGCTTGAGATTTAATTAAATTCATAATCTTTGGTAACTGTATAATAGATTCACAAAGGAAACTGATGATAAATTATGTTAAAACTGAATGTCTGAGTGTCTGAAATATTTTTGAGTCCACAAAGACAGTTGCAATACTGATTAAAGATTTCATTACTCAGGCTTTATTTTCCACTGTTGTGTGGAGGTATGAAGGAAATACATATAAAACAAATTCAAATCCAATTGATATTTTTGTCGTACAGTGTGAGTGAGTGATGGTATGATGGCGCAACCATATTAAACAGCCTGTTTTGGAAGTCGAACAATGCTTTAAACTCTTTATAGCACAAAGTATATT